TTTGGCATCTAACTTGCGGATGGCCCTTCCCCGTTTCCCTGGTTCTGACTCGCGAGATATCTTGAGATGATGGCCGCCTCGTATTCGTCCCTTGTCAGGAACACGTCGTCCTCGTCGACTAGGTTGACGTTGTAATTGTTGGCCCTGGAGGCGCCAGTCCTGATGGAGTTGGCTTTTTGGCACCACGCCCTCTCTGCATCTGGTATCCTCCTGTTTGATGTGCACGCTGCTCCTGGGTGACCAGTGTGTCCACAACCGAAACACTTGCCACTTGCCACAGGGCTTGTGCCTGGCGTGAGCGGACAGGGGCGGCTTTCGTTTGCTGGTCGTCCGTAGCTAATGCAGTTCCATGTTGCGAGTTCAGCCTCATATGCTGCCCAGCCTGCTGGAGTGTCTGGTTGCGGTGGTGGTATATGTCCTATGATGACAAGCTTCTCGGCGTCCGTGCGTTGGGGGCCCCTATATGGCTGGGTTGTCGCTTGGGTGGCAGCAGGGGCTGGTTGGAAGCGTGGTTGTGGTATGGGTCCCACTGAGAAGTTGCGGAATGCCTGCCCGAGTGCTGTGGTTGGCGTGGGTGGTGGTTGTCACTGCTGCTGCTGTTTGACACACTGTAGTTCTCCCTCGAGTCGTGCCTGCTTGTCTTGTCGTTCTTTCTCCTCCTCAATATCCAATGGTCTGATGGCACGGACCGCTGTGCAGAAAGTCGTCCATGTATCGTGTGAGCTGCTAACGAGCACTTTCAGCGTGGGTGGTAATTGTCGTCGGCAGCTGACGACCAAGAGGTTGTTGTTGTCAGGCACTGCCTTTGCCAGCTTCTCCACTTTGTTTGCCCATGCGACGTGGGCATACATCTCCGTTCCGTTCACCTTCACCTTTGTTCCCAACTCCGCTTCCGTAATCTTCTCCCCCTCCAACTCAGCCTGTTTCTCTGCCGTAGTCTTCTGCGCTGTGGGCCATTCTGGCCATTGTTCTTTGAATGCCACACACAATCCCGCCCATGTAGCCTTCTTCGCCACTTCGAGGTCCTTGAACCACTGCTCGGCCGCAGACCCGCTCTTCAGCCACGTTTCGAAGTAGTTGATCTTGAATTCGTCCTCCTGCCCTGACGTCATCAGGTAACGCTGCGTTCATTTGAGGAAATCTCTAGGGTCCATGGTGTCGTCGTCTTCCCCCGTGAACTGATCGTCATTGTTCCTGTCTGCCATGACCTTAGGCTGCGCTCTGGGCTGGACAGCAGTTTCGTGTGGGAGGATGTTGGGGATGAGTGGTGTGGAGGGTGGTGGTGGTGGGTAGACAGGTGTGGATGCTCCAGAGTTTCCTTCTTGAACGGTTGACGCTAGCGTTAGGGTCACCGATGTGGGTGAAGATGAAAGCGATGGAAGCGTGGATAGAGGGGTAGATGTCCTGGAGGTAGTTGAAGCCATGGTGATAGTAGGCAGGAATCTGCCGTTGGGGCCTCTATTATAGTTCAGTTTTCGTTTCGCCAGGATGACCCAGGGGCCTTTGAGGTGTAAAATTTCCGCCAGGAGGTTGACACGTTGCACAGACGATCACAGTTGAGAGAGCACACAAAACGCAGGTAAGACACAGATGGACGCAATAAGACACAGTGAGTTCGATCACGCTCTCATCACCAGATGGAGAGGTGCCGAGTGACGCAAGGGAAAAGCACGGAGAAAGCTCGGACACAGAGACGCAGTCGGAAGATGATTGTGATGATGATGATCTCGTGTACAAGCGTGTTTCTACTCTAAAGCCCTTGCCAAACCTGGCCAAACAGTGCTTCCTCCAGCTTTGGAGTGTTGAGACTCGATACTCCACTGTGTGGTGCACTGCGTGCTACCTTGAGCAGCCTACTTCCCCAGTTGAGCACCGACAGCAGCCTCTTGGAAGGTGGTCATCTGAATAGAGGCGACGATTCGCTACCTTCACTACTGTGTAGTTGAACTCAAGACGGTATCCCAACAAGAAACCTATCTCTCTCTTATAAATGCGCGCCATTGGCCTGTCATACACCATCTTTGCCATTGGCCCGTCATACACCATCTCCGACATGCGACCGTCCAATACTAGTACTGCTACTACAGTACTATGGTTTGCCGAGGTCCCCTTCGAACCACCGAGCTCACCATCAATCAGATACTGCACCGGATAGTCTTCTGAGGTGCAGCCTGATGTGGATCACGAGTTGCCCCCCGACTGGGTCGTCCATCCACCCCGTACCGCTACCTGGCTAACTCACCATTCTTCCTCAATTTCCCTCCAACCTTAGTCTTGCCGCTTCTGAGCCGGACCCCAACTCAGCTTCTTGGAGTTCAGCTCCAAGGGTCCAACCCCAATCCAACCCTTCGAAGTGCCTGACTAGCTCCGTCTTCCGACTCGGACTCGCGCTTACCTCCGTCCGTGTCCATGGACGAAATGGGCGTACTTTGTGTGGACTCTGTGGAGTTCCATGTAGTACTTACTGGTGGGCTGTGTAGTTTCATGCAATGCTTGCGGTGCTCACAATGTACATCGTTTGCGTTCGAGTTATATTGAGGTATAAAACAAAACAGGTATTAAAAGAACCGTAAGCCAAGCAAACGAGTCTCAGGTCTGGAGTGTGAGGAGGGGATAATGGGAGAGTAAGCATATATATATGTCGGAAAATCTGAGAAAAACCTAGATGTGCCAATATGGTGCTCATATGTGCGCATCAGGTCATCAGTATTTTGGGATGTATTTCAGCCACAGAACGTGCGTATGGGTGTGATAGACCCCCTCACTTGGATCAGTAATTACCACTGTTGTCGGACATTTTAGTACTGAGGGTGGGTGTTAGTAGTTATTCTTTCTGGTAAAACATTGAAGCACAGAGAAGAACTTACCGTGGTTGTCAGGCCCGTCAGGTTGACGAACTATGATCTGGGACCAGAATCTTTTCCAGATTTCGAGCATAACATTTAGATCTCACACCAAACAGAACATTAAATCAATGCATTCGAGCTGGGTGTGCACTACATAATGGCAGATACTAGACTGGTGTTGCCTCACTGCCAGCTCTCGTAGAATCCGAACAGACCTGACCTGTTGTCTGAGGACTCGGGCACTGTCAAGACATAGTGACGGCCTGGACTTGTGAGAAATCAACGAACTAGGTTGTGCAACGTAAGTTTCGTCAATCTTCAAGTTGCACAACTGACCTTTTCTCTGCAGCGTGCGCCTGAACCCTCCTCGCCACAATCCTGCTTCCAAACGAGTGTTGATCCAGCGTGCGCCCCAACTCTCCCCGCCACAATCCTGCATCCAAACGAGGGGTCTACGGCCGCCCATTTATTGGGCTATCGCTTGAAGATCGTCCCCGTTAACGCGAAACGGAGACTGTACGAGCAAAGTTGTTGATGAGATCGGTAGCCGTTGACACTGAGTGAGTACATTAGCATCTTTACCCACAGCACCAAACAGACGACTTACCTAAGCAGGATAATCTTCAGCTCCGTCCGTTGGGTGCAATCTTCTTGCCAGCCTACGTTCTGTCCGAGTCCATGCCGCCCTAGCGTCTGCCTTACAGGCTGCTACCCGCCCGACTGTTCTCAACGCGTCACCTCGATTGGAAGGAAGGGGAGTTGCCAGGCAGCGAAGTGAAAGCGGATCTGGTGGGAAAGGTATGAGCTCACCCATGGCTGGGTTCCCGAGTAAGTGGATGGAGACGGGTTTCGTGTCGTATAGACTCTTGATGCCCATGAGAGCTTGAATGAAGAGGGGTTGTGTGAATTTGGAGTAGAGGTGCATGCCGGCTATTGGCATTGCGATGCCCAAGCACACTGAGCGAAGCTGTGGAGAGAAGGGGTTAGATCCGTCGTGTATGATGAAATAGATAGGAGGCAGGGTGGTGGGAGGAGGTGAAGGATGTTCTTGTCGGTATAGACCAGAAGCAAAAATGAAAATATCTTCTTGCGAAATATTGCTCCGGATTTTCGTTTCTGGCTTTTCGCCAGTACTTTACCCTCCCCGGGTTAATCCATATGGAATGGATGGAATGGGGGGTGGACTGCACAAATTCCAGATGGATTCCATGGAATGGGGGATGGATTCCATGGAGTGGGGGATGGATTCCATGGAATGGGGGATGGATTCCATGGAATGGGGGATGGATTCCATGGAATGGGGGATGGATTCCATGACTTTGGGGGATGGATTCCATGAAATGGGGGATGGATTCCATGACTTTGGGGGATGGATTCCATACTCTATTCTATATGTTCTATACCATTTTAAGGGTGGAATTCATATGGACTCCATATGGAATCCACATGGAATCCACATGGAATCCACATGGAATGACTTTATGAAATAATTCTAAGTCCACATCATGTAATCATAGTTTCTACATTCATGAGTCATAGCTTAGCAGGAAAAATTGAAATGTATTAAATTGACTACACAATTTATGTTTACTATTCTCAATATATAAGGGAGGGGGGACGACAGGGGGAAGTCATGGAGGGGGAGGATGTAGTAGACTGAGGGGGAGGGAGGGGGGAGGGGGAAGGAGTGATGGAGGAGAGAGGGAGTGGTGAAGGGAGAGGTGGGAATGGATGGAGGGGGGAGC